TTAATAACCTTACATCTTCTAGGGAGGAAGGAGGCCCTGGCATGTCACCCACCCTGCCAGGAAGTCTCATTTCAGGCGCCAAGCTGGTGCTGCCCTGATGGGCTTCAGGGGCTCATAACTCCCCAGGAGAGAAGCACCTGGGCAGCCTCAGATGTTTTACCTCCAATCTGGGGTCTGACCTTCCCTGCACCAAGGGCCTAGCTTTGGGCTGTTCTGCACACAGGAAACTGCACGTTACCATCCACCAAAGCGACACACCAAGAACAGTAGCAGCTCACGTTTTGGGGGCATTCACTGTGTTCCAGGAACTGTGCTCTAAGTCTCAGCTTCTTTAATATTCTCAATGATTCTGTAAGGCAGGAAAAATTAGACCCCTCACTGCATAATAGGGGGAAACTAAGGTGTGCAGAGGTTAAGCAACTCGTTCAAGGTCACAGTCAGAGAGCAGTGCGGATGGAGCGTGCTCTGTGGTCGTCTTGCTGCTGGTGCCCACCTGGGACGCCCGCCCTGTATCTGAGCACCACGGGAAAGTCCAGTTCCCCAGCCAGGGATAGGAGCCACATGCTTCTGTACACCACACCACATCCAAAGCCTGCCTCCCTGACTTTTTCCTTTCCCAGAGACCACTGGACACTTGGCTACGATGGCTTCCCAAACCAGGTGTCCACGAATACCGAAGTCCCACCGAGAGCTGAAAGGAGATGTGTCACAGCTAACACTGAGTGATGGACACATCTTCCCCCGCCCCCACCCCCGATTTCCAGGAATATTTTGCAAGAGAATAGGATATTCTCAAGTGCAGGTGTTTCTTCCCTAGGTTTCTTCTCATTCCTTTGGAACTCACTAGCTGGCTGGTGGTAACAACAAAACAACTGAGAAAGTAGCGAACAAATGAGGGTTAACAGAAAACTGGCAGATGTGTGATCTTTAATAGAGCACTATTATGCCCTGAAATGCACAGAGCCTTGGCTACTATTATCTCTGCCGGTGAGATTGCTCTTGGTTTGTAATAATAGAGCTAAATCTCTCTGTGAGTGCTCCTGCCTTGCAGTTGATCTGCCTGCTAAAAAATTTCAAAACTAAGAGATGTTCAAACCCAGAGTTGGCACAGGTAATTCTAATTAAAATACCTAATATTTACTACATTGCTTATTATATTCTAGGCCCTGTCCTCAGCACTTCGGATACACTTTTGGTCTCACTTAAACCTCACAGTGACCTTATGAGGCAGATATTATAATTATCTCCATTTTAGGAAACTAAGGCACACGATTTAGAACAGCGCAGGTGGATACTGAATGAGCCCAGTCGGACTTCAGGGCCACACTGCTTTCTGTTGTGAGGCAGACGGAGAAATAAAGACGGAAGAAAGGAGAGAGAGAATACTAATGATCGGGAAGTCCCTTCTCTTTTTCGATGCACCTTGAGGCTTACCTGCGCCTTGTCCGGAAGCAAGTGCATGGTATAAGTAGGAAGAGGAGCAGATCGGGACTCAGAAAGGTGGTGGAGTTGCCCACCAAAGTTATGGCTGCCTCCTTCCCCAGGGTCAAGGTGCAAACAAGGAAGGTGTTTTGACTTCCTAGGAGACAGCATGTCCTGGTGGGCTGGCCCTAGCGAGGCCAGGGTAGGAGGGCACACGTCTTGGGCCATCTGGGCCTTTGCACAGCCCTTAGGTCATATGGGAACCTGCAGCCCTTCCCAGCCTCAGTGCATCTTTGGCCAGGGGATGAGGGCTGTCTGAGTTCAAAGACACTTGTCGTGATGGTGAAGGGGCTAAATTCTCAGCAGTGATCCCCCCCACCGCCACCTGATTCTGCTCTTACCAGCCTTGTCATCACCTTGCGCCCCCCTGGGGGTGATGCACTGTGTGCTCAGAACTGATTCTTCCTACATTGCCTGCCTGTGAGGTGTCGGAAGCCCAGGCTCTCCTAGTCCTGGAAGGAGATTCTCCAGGCCTAGGAAGGGCTCTGTGGTCTTGCATAAGCAGTGTTGAGCACTGGCGCTGATTCCTGATAGTCCATACCCCCTGCCTTCCTAGCCTCAGCCCGGAGGGAGCAATAGCTGGGCGTCCCGTGGAGATGTGATGGAAACAGCAGACATGCCAAGGACCTGCTCCCTTCCCCCACCCCTTTTTTATTTATGGATTCAGTTTTTTGTAAGGCTGAACATTTAAATGCACCCTACGCTCTCTGGATGCCCCTCCCCCTTCATTAAAATTCTAATTATTACCAGAGCAAGTAAGATGTATGATCAAAGGAAAGCAAAGCCTAGAAATACCTTTTGTTTTAAGGTGACTCATGTTTCAGAGAATGCATCCAGAACCGGCTGTTACAGAACAGATGTAAGGGGTCTGGAGACAGCCAGATACCTAGAATAAGAGCATGTATGTCTTTTGTGGCTTTCCTGGTGATCCCAATGGGACAGGAGCCTGAAGAAATAGTCCCCAAACCATGTGGAGTGTGAACTTATAGCAACAATAAACAAAATGGCTTTTGCACCTCCAATGTATGTTACTTTGTGTTCTTCAAGGGGTGACCGTGTAGGGCCAACTGGAGCCAGACTGGCTAGGGTAGCCCCTGGTTCTACCTCTTCCTGGCTCTGTGACCCGGGCAGTCTCTTTCACCCTCTGGGTCTCAGCTCCATGTCTGTACAGTGAGGATAGTATTGCACTTCTCAGTTTGGAAAGGAGTAAATGAGTGAATATGGAAAAGGCACTTGGAATCTTGCACATACTAATGTGGGGTAAATTGGCCGAGTCCAACAATAAAATGTCATTATTATTACCAACCTGGATATTAAAATTTTGATTTCTTATATTTAAGATAATAAAGGAACATGAAAATAAGCTGTATCTTTTCCTCTTGTGGCCGCCAAGTGCATGCACACCAAGCCTGGAGACCGTTAGTCTGCAAGTTAACTTAGGATTGGGGCTCCTGGTCTCGGCAGTTAGTGTCGGGGAAGGACTGGCCGCAGCCCCTTTGGCCCGGGAAAGGCTCTAGTGTCTCTGGGCAGGAGGAAGGGGACAGTGGCCTAGGAGGTGAGGACTTGAGGATTCTTTGCCATTATTCCCTGTTCATGGAGGTGTAGCTTGACCCTGGGAAAATAACCTGCAACAAGGGAGTTGGGAGGCAGTGCTGGCTCCCCGGAGAGCATGGCTGATGCTCCCACCGCCTTCTCAGCTGCCCTTGGAGGTGGGACAGGGCCCCCGGGGCTTGTGAGAGCCCCCAGCATGCCCCCACAGGGGCCTGGGCTTCTTAACATCCCAGGTCTAATTCAAAGCCTGGCACATGGCAAATGCTTAGGAAGTCCTGGTTGAACTGCATCGAGATGAGAGCTAATTGCAGCTCTTCTGTATGCCACTCATTCATTCCTTCACTCATTCATCCCCATATGCCAGATTCCATTCCAGGCCATGAGTCAGACAAACAGGAGTAACAGAGGGTCACAGCAGCCCACAGTTTAATCAGGGACAAACAGGCTGAGACAGTAGAGAGAGTGCCAGGCTGGCCCGTGGACATCTGGACCCAGGTCCAGGCTCTGAGTCTGACCAGCCGGTGCCTGCAGGCAGGACCCTCCTCTGGGCTGTCATGGCTACCTGAGAAACCCAGCCTGCCCTCAGCACTTGGGGGGGCATTTCTCACTCTCATTCCTAAACATTTTTTAGGTATTGGGACAGGTTCATGCAAAGGATGCAAACCCACACACTTGGCAGGGGACAGAGAAGGAGGGATGAGCCAGAGAGGATGCCCCCTCTGGAGGGTGTGACCAGTCCCCCCATCCTCCAGCCTGTCCCCCCTTCTCCACCCAACCTCTCCCACCCCCACTCCAGGCAGGAGCTCAGAACAGGTCCCACATCACAGCCTTTGCTGCAGAAGCCTGGATCAGTAAGCGTGATGCCTGTGTGGTCTCTCAGTGTTTCAGTCACTGTGCAGACAGCCTAACAGAGCTCTCCTGCTGGCCTGTCCACAGGTGACCTTTTGGGGGACCTGCCAGGGAAACCAGTGCTTCAGAGCCTTCTGACTTCTCCCCTCAAAGCTGGAAGAAGCCTTGACTTGAAGGTTCATTGCTAGATCTGGGGATGGATGACAGGCGAAAGCCTTCTTTTAATAATTTTTCTGAAAGGGAGGCATCTGCTCGAGCTCTCCTGGGGATAATGGGCACCTGGGGGTGGCCTGGGGCTGGGGCAGTGAGTGCGTGCCTCCAAACCTACAATGACACCAAAGCCCCAGCGGAGCTCTGGCATAGCTGCCGGGGCGGATAGGGACAGCTCTGGGGGTTGTCTGTATTGGCTTTGAAATACACGGTGGGGATCAGATGTCGTGTTCCTTCATGCAGGTGTTTCTTGCCCCCTACAATGTGCAGGGTTCTGAGAGTGCAGGAGCAGCTGAGCCCTACCCTCAAGGGATGTGCTCGGCCCCCTCGGCCCCTTGAAGTCAACTCCATGTTCATTGTGCCCCTGCCCTGATCTTGGGGTGGTGGGGCAAGGCAGGGAAGAGGATGGGCACGCGCGCCAGCCTCTGCCCCCTGAAGCCTCACAGCCTGTTCAGGGAGAGAGCCGGGAACAGAGATGACTCTGCTCGAAGTCTGGCCATAGTAACAGCACTAATAGAAATGCAAACAGCATCCAAACAGGAACGCTTCACAAGTTTGCACATTTGCTAAGGCTGCTGCGACTGAAATTGCTTTGCTTTCCCCCTGCACATAGCAGCAGGCAGTAGGGGAGCAGCCCAGGTTCTCCCCAAGCTGGCAGGGCATGGGGGCAGGGGATGCTGGGGAGATCAGGCTGAGGGTGACACCAGGCTGCGGCGACAGCACCGAACGGACAATCGCGGGTCAGCCTGAGACCATGTCTCCCCCTGCCTTGGCGGGTTTTCTCATGACCACTCTTTTCTCTTCTTCCGTCTGTGTCCCCTCTGTGTGCCCCCTCTCCCCACACTGTCCACCCCCTCCCTGCCTCTGTCTGTCTCTGCCCCACCCTGCCCGGCGCACGCCGCGGGCAGGCACCTCTGTCTACCTCCTCGCTGTGGTGGTTATCGTGTCTGGCGTGGCCCTGGTGGCAGTTTTTCTCTTTCTCTTTTGGAAGCTGTGTTGGAGACCCTGGAGGAGCAAGGAGACCTCCAGCCCCTCGTCCGCTGCTGACCCCACCGAGGAGGCCCTCCAGAGCCCCAGCTCCCAAGGCAACATGGCGGACAAGCTGAAGGACCCCAGCAGCCTGGGCTTCCTGGAAACGGCCGTGAAGATCAGCCACACGTCCCCGGACATCCCGGCCGAGGTGCAGATGTCAGTCAAGGAGCATATCATGCGTCACACGCGGCTGCAGCGACAGACCACGGAGCCAGCCTCGTCCACCAGGTGAGGGGGCACCCCGGCTGCCCAACCCTGCCCGCGGGTGAGTGAGAGCCCAGCCGGCCCTCTGAGAAAGGACTGTGTCCAGGGGTGTCTCCTCGGAAGGGGACACCTGGTGAAAGGGGAAACTGAGGCAAGGGGCTATGCACGCGCTGTGCACTTAGGGTTTGTGTGGGCCTGAGGGGAACAGCACAGCGAGTAGGGGGTGGGTGTCGGGTGTTTGGAGAAAGGGAGAGACATTGGTCTAAGGGAAGAGACCATGCAAAGGCCCACAGGGGCTGAAGTTCAGGATTTGTTTCCAGGCAGTAAAGCTAGGCTGGCAGTGCATGGAAGACAAGGCAAGAGCGCGCCGGCAGGCTCACAGCCAGGGTTCGTCAAAGGATCTTGAAAACCTCTCATTGTTCCCCGTGTGACAGCAGTTGTCTGTGTGACATCCGTTCACTGAAAACAATGACAAAAACGAATACACGATGGTAAAAACCTCGTCTACACTCAGGCCCACTTTTAAAAGGTGGGGTGCATGTGTGTAGGAGGAATTGTGTTTGCCCAAAACCAAGGGCTCTTGTGGATGTCTGGATCCCTGCCGTGTGTCTCCTGGCCCCCAGGGGACCCACGGCGGCGCACGAGGCCTGGTGTTCAGACCGCAGGCAGCGATGAGCGTGCCGGGCCATGTTGCCAGAGCTTGTCCTGCGGCCTTGAGCAAGTGGTTCACCTTCCTAGGCCTCACTTTTCCCAAACGGAGTCCTCCCAGGTGGTCGTGAGGGGCCGGCAGAGGAGGCCAGGTGACAGTGAACTCTAAGGCATGCATCACTTCGTGGATACCTGGCCCTGTTCTAAGCACTTTAGTTGTATTATTTTACTTCACCTTCACAGCCATCTTATGCAATTGCTATTTTTATTATCTTTGTTTTTATAACACAGAGAGGTTAAATATCTTGCCCAAAGTTACACTCAACAAAGTAACAAAGCTGAAATGAAGCTACACGATGTGACTCCAGCACCCATACTTTCTTTTATTTATTTTTTTTATTTATTTAAAAGACAGAGTTACAAAAAGGGGTAGAGACAGAGAGAGAGGTCTTCCATCCGCTGGCTCACTCCCCAGACGGCTGCAACAGCCGGAGCTGAGCCGATCCGATCTGAAGCTGGGATCTGGGAGCTTCTTCTGGGTCTCCCACGTGGATGCAGGGGCCCAAAGACTTGGGCCATCTTCTACTGCTTTCCCAGGCCATAGCAGAGAGCTGGATCAGAAGAGGAGCAACCAGGACTTGAACTGGCGCCCATATGGGATGCCGATGCTTCAGGCCAGGGCTTTAACCCAATGTGCCACGGCGCCGACCCCAACACACATGCTTTCAACCACTCCCATTCCTACCCTGTATTGAGCGCTCAGTAAATGATGGTGGGAGAGCCCATGGAGGGTGAGGAAGGGTGGCCCATCTCCCAAGGGAGTGCATGGTTCAGAGAAGGGAACAGAGTGCCGTCTGTGAGGAGAGAACCCTGGGAAGCAGATATCAGAGAAGCAGGGAGAGTGATTGCGATAGCAATGGCCAACATTTGCTGAGCTTAATATAGACCTGGCGCCGCTCCAGCTGCTTGTGCACCAAGTGTGTGCAGAGGACACGTGGGGTCAGCAAGAGGGAGAGGGTGCTCCACGTGGGGCAGAGGGAGCCAGGTCCGCCCTGACCACACACGCGCTCTCTGCCCCTCCTGTCGCCGCCAGGCACACGTCTTTCAAGCGCCACCTGCCGCGGCAGATGCACGTCTCCAGCGTGGACTACGGCAGTGAGCTGCCGCCGGCGGCCGAGCAGCCCACCAGCATCGGCCGCATCAAGCCTGAGCTCTACAAGCAGAAGTCGGTGGACGGGGACGAGGCCAAGTCCGGGGCAGCCAAGAGCTGCGGGAAGATCAACTTCAGCCTCCGCTACGACTACGAGAGTGAGACCCTGATCGTGCGCATCCTGAAGGCCTTTGACCTCCCCGCCAAGGACTTCTGCGGAAGCTCTGACCCTTACGTCAAGATCTACCTCCTGCCTGACCGCAAATGCAAGCTGCAGACCCGGGTGCACCGCAAGACCCTGAACCCCACCTTCGACGAGAACTTCCACTTCCCCGTGCCCTACGAGGAGCTGGCCGACCGCAAGCTGCATCTCAGCGTCTTTGACTTTGACCGCTTCTCCCGCCACGACATGATCGGGGAGGTCATCCTGGACAACCTCTTTGAAGCCTCCGACCTGTCCCGGGAGACCTCCATCTGGAGGGACATCCAGTACGCCACGAGTGTGAGTACAGCGCTGCTCAATGGGCTGCTCTAGGATGAGCAGCTCTGGGCCGGGCGGGACACGTCCCCTACCCCCCTCACCGCCTCCAGACACAGGGTGTGAAACTGTCCATGGCCCGCCCACCCTGGGGCGGTCCTTGCTCTCTCCCCAGGTTGGGGTGGGAGCCAGTAGCACCCTCGGAGGCAGGGGAAGGGAAGGAATTTTTGTCTGTTGCTTCTCATCGCACCTTCCAGGGTGGGTCTCTCTACCTGCGGGACCCAAGGTTTGGCAACTCTAAAACATGTGCTATGTCCCCTATGATCATGGGTGACGGCTGGGCCAGGCCACAGACTGAGTGTCTGCTGAGTGTATTGGTATGTATTAGAAGCTTGGGATAAGCAGCAAGAGTGGGCTGTGTTAATCAGACTGTACTTCAGCAAGAAGCAATCTCAGGATTTTGTGGCTTCAGATAACCAAGGTCTGTTTCCCATTCACGTCACACGTTCTTTGCAGCGTAGCTGGGGGCTCAGCTTGACCTGGTTGCCCAGGGACCCGAGCCCACGGAGGCTCCAGCTCAGCTTGAGCTTGCATAGTTAAACCTCAGGAGGAAGACGATGTGCAAATCATGCAGTATTTCTCAAAGCTTCCATGCACAAGTTCCATGTGTCACTTCCACTCACATTCCATTAGCCAGAGCAAAACACACGGCAACTCCTACTCTCAGAGAGGCAGAGGCAAAACACTCCTACCACACGCCCAGAAGGCAGAACTGCAGAACTGAATGAACGCACTAAGGACCACACACCGCTGAGTCCCTTGTCTTAGCACCATATTCCCAGTACTGTCTGGGAGTTGGGGGAGGGATGGGGGCAGGGCAGGCAGCCTGCAAGGAGACCTGGCTAATGCCCACACCAGAGGCAGATACTGGGCCATTCGCAGCCAGCTGGAGCTAACCGAGGCTTCAAGGTGCTGAGGTTCACGTTGACTCAGAAGGGAGGGCAGCTTTGGCACAGAGAACTAGAGGGGCACACCCGGAGCCCCCTGGGCTGGTGTGGACAGGGTACTCCATTCCGCTGGCCTGAGGAGCTGTGTGGTGCATCCTGCAGGTGCAGCTGCTGTACCTCTCTCTGACCCGGGCGCTGAGAGCCCAGCAAGGGTGTTCCCACCAAGCACGTGGCCTCTCATCTGGTGTCCTGAGTGCTAACTGGCTGAGTGTCTCCCTGGATATTTTTATTTTAAGATTTATTTGAAAGTCAAGCAGCAGGAGGGGCTGAGGGTGGGGAGGGGTGGAGATCTGTCCACTAGTTCACTCTCCAAATGGCTGCAACAGTCAGGGCTGGTGAGCCAGGCTGGATCCAGGAGCCTGGAACTCCATTGGGGTCTCCCATATGAGTAACAGGGCCCCAAACACTTGGGCCACCTTCTGCTGCCTTCCCAGGCACATAAGCAGGGAGCTGGATCAGAAGTAGAGCAGCCAGTGCGGAAACAGCTCTCCAGTATGTGATGCTGGCATTACAAGTGGCTTCACCCAGTGCACCACAACGCCAGCCCCTCTTTGCATATTTCTTGCACCATTATCTCTGAGGAGGGAGGATCCCAATCTGCCTGAGGCTCCTCCCTCTCCTCCCTTCGGGCAGCTGATACTCAGTACATCTGTGCGGAATGTCAGGAGAGAGACTGGGAAACCCAGCCCCGCCGTGGTGGGTAGAGCGTACGTGCCTCGATTTCTTCAAGGAGAAACCTCGGTGGGCTCTGCTTCCAGGCAGTGTCTCCAGGACCCCATTCTCTGATGCTGACTTTGGCGAGTCCAGACTGATGTCCCAGGGCCTTCTCACCTTTGCTTTCCTGAGATGCCACCACCCCACCCCCCGCCGCCGCCCAGAACGGCGCAGGCAGCCAGGTGGCAGCCAGACGGGGCGGGCTGGAGCGGCAGCTGTGCAGCAGCCCAGGCCCAGGAGCTGTGCCTATAAATCACGATCTGAAGCGCGCATCTGGTGCGGCTCTTCCCTGTGGTCTCCTAAGGCAGCAGCTTCATGGCGGGGACTGTGCAGGTGGAGAGAGGCAGCTCCATCCTCCTTACAGCGAGGCCACCGCCCCCGGGAGAGGATGAGGACGCAGGGCTGTGGGGGCAGAGCTCTGCCCGCCCCAGAGGCCCCCTCCCTCCCCTGTACCTTCGGCCCCAGCAGGAGTGTGAGCCTCAGGTGTGCAGGAACCTCTCTCTCCCCCAGATGGAGCTGCCCTGATCCTAGGGCTCTGTAGCTGTCCCTGACCTCGTCCCCAGACTGTCCCCATGTTCACTTCCTCAGGCAGTGCCACCAGAGTCCGCCTCCTCCTCCTGTTCTTAAGGACGCCATGCCGGGCACTGGGGGTGAGGGCGGGACTGGGCTGGCAGAGAGGGGGACCATCCAGCAGGCCAGCGATGCCGGCCAAGTGCTCCTGCACACTGTGTGCACCAACACTGCCTGGGAAGGCCTGGACCAGGGCAGCTAACCCAGGTAGGGCAGGACTGGAACCGGGAACCTCCCAGGCCAAGAGGGAGGGAAACCCCCCCCCCATAGAAGCCCAGGCCTGGTGGTTCCCAGCTGCAGGGCTGGGGTGGCGCCCGCACCCCTTGTCTTGCGTGCAGCCTGTCTGAGCTCTGCATGCGGCCTCAGGTGAGTGCCCTGGGCCCTCCAGCCCAATAGCGCCACCAGCAGGCACAGTTCTCAGATTGGGCTCCCCACCCTGGCAGGCCAGGACCCAGGAAGCCCCGTGCCTTTACCTGCTGCACAGTGCTGGCTATGAAAGTGTAAATCCAGGGCAAGGATGCCCAGGTGAGAGCCACTGGCAATAACTGAGCCCTCGGTGGACCTGACTTCCTGCAGCCAGCGCGGAGGGCGCAAATGGGCACGTCCTTTTCCCATTGCTGTCCTGGGCCCAATTCCATTCCCAGCTGCACTTTAGACCTGAGCCCGGGGACCCAGGCTGTGCCTCTGCCCCTGGCTGCGCCTCTGCCCCAGCCCCACAGGCCCCTGAGTGTGCCTGGAGTCCCTGCTTCTTGCCTTTGCTTGTAAGGTCCCCCTCGGCTTGGCAGGCCTGGCCCCTGCCTCTCTGCCCAGCCCCAGCCAGTCCACCGCTCAGCGCCCACCTGAATCCTCCTCCACGCGGCCTGCTGTTTTCCCAGCAGCCACCGCTCTATATCTGATGCATCCTCTATATCCCTCAGCTTCGTCCTGATCCAGAGTCTGTCCTGTAGAGTCCTCCCGACAGCAGACCCGGGGATGGCTGTGACCCACACTGCCCCTTCTCCTGTGCTCTCCCGCAGGGCCGAGCCTAAGACCCAGCACATTCCTGTCAAATGACCGATGGCTTGTTTAATCCAACTATCTGTTGGGGCACAAGGGAGGATTATTAAAGAAGTAATTGGAGCCAAGTGGGGTTCAGCGGGGAAGGCTTCCTGGAAGAGGAGGCCAAGAAGTATTTTGAAAGCAGGTAGAGAGATTCAGAGGCATGGTTCAAGGAGAAGGGTTGTGTCTGGGGTGGCAAAGAGACAAGACAATGAGGTCAGGTGGTCTGGACTGAAGCAGAGGATGGGGGATCAGAAGACGAGGCACCGTGAGGAAGGGGTTGGGTAGGCTGCTCTGTGGTCACAGGTCCTGCGTGCTGCCCCTGTGGCTCCTGGAGCTTGTATAGGAGTCGGGATCAGCCGTAGCAGGTGGCATCAGGCGGGCCCCTGTTCTAGTGCTGGAGTCTAAAGCAGCAAAGCCCGAGGGTTTGTGCGATTTTCTTGCAGGCACTGACCCTGGAGCTCCTGGGCAGGTGAGAGGAGGGTAAACATTTCACGAGTCTAGCTCTTTCTCAGTTGCAAATCTTAAGCCACCAGGGACCCTCGTGCGCCCACCCCGGTGCTAATATGCACCAGGAGCTGGGGGCCAAGACGTGGACAGACCTGACCGCCGAGGTGCTTGGGGGCCCCTGGCTTTCTGTCTGCAGAATCACAAAGCTCAGGCCTGGGAAAGAAACCAGGAGAGCCCATGGCACCCATTGCAGCCGTGGGCACTGCTGCCCCTGGCGCTGCCCAGGCCCTCCCGCCACCTGGCTCCACTCGGTGCCTCTCCCTCCACCCAGAACTTCGCTCTTCTTCCCGTGCTGCTTCTCCCCCAGTCTCATTATTTCTGTATAAAGCTGGAGATTCATCATTGTACTGGAGCTGCCGACACGGAGGTTTGCTAACAGCTCTGTGGTCTTGTGGTTATTGCTACCCAGGCCCCAGAGCCCAGCGCACACAGCTGTTCCTGCCGCTGTTCCCGCTCCTGTGCTGCAGTGGGAGCTGTAACTGGGGCTGTAAAGATGTGTTGTGCTTGGCAGTGCCAGTGGACTTGGGTGTCGTCCTGCCTCACCAGGGCTGTGCTGGGTGAGAGTGTGCCTGTGTGTGTGCACACGCGTGTGGATGCATGTGTGTTGTTTGGGGGGACAGAGTGTTCTGTGTCCTACTCCCGGGATCTGCAGAGAGGAACGGCCGCCTTAAGTGGTGCAGCAGCCTCTAGCCTGGGGATGAGCAGAGCTGTGCTGTGTTCCGGCTGCCCCACTTCCTTGCTTTGAGACCATTAGCCAAAGTGTGCCTCAGTGGCAGGAAAATGCGGGTCATAATGCATTGGGGTCATCGTGGTGTTACACGTGATCAACAAATGAAGCGTCCCAGATACCCGGGGCAGCCTTGCCCACCCTGCCACTGTGTTTCCTGCTGGCTCGGCCTGTGGGCCACTTTCATACCGCTCTGTGGCCGGCCATCCTCTCCGGTCCAGGCCACCTGTTCCGACTGGTTGGTGGATGTCGCCATTCCTGTCTTATTGCTGGTCTTAGCTGTGTCGTGTGTTTTCCGTGTGACTTTGGGAAAGTGACATCCCCTCTCCAGGCTGCGTTTCCCAGTACTAAACCATCGGCACAGTTCTGAGATCCTCAGCTTCTTAGCTCCGGCTCTTGCACAGAGCAGAGCGGCCAGGGGCCCGGGAGTGTGCTCTACTCAGAAGAGGCCTGAACCC